ATTTGTATATGTATGTTTTAAAAGATATATATTTGTGAGTGTGTATATGTATGTTTTCATTGCTGTTTTAATCTATTTTTTTAAGATATACCGTCATGCTGAATTGCTGGAAAGACAATCCTCAGGAAAGACCAGTCTTTGCCTCGCTCGTTGACGAGTTCGATAAAATGGTGACCATGTTATCAAATCAGGTGAGTATATACTTGTCAGTAAACCATGTGGGACAAGGGCACCATTCAGAAAACACCTGAGATCATGCGTAGTGTCGGCAATTYAATTAACTTTAAGTTGACAAAAGACCTAGGATTAATCTTCATTCGACTTCGAACGAATTTTGTTCGTTTTCTTTGCAAAGTGCATCATTCCTTCTGAACTTCTTTCCGTCTTCTTGCATCTCTTGCACTTTCACTTGCATTTGCCGGTCACCTACACATGAAGGAGTAATAGTTAATAGTTTAATAGTTTTACGTTCCTTCCGTTTCTCACAAAATCGATTTCCATTTATAACAAACAGGAATACCTGGACCTTCAGGGGCCATTGATAAGCCCCCTTTGTCCACGAAGTCCTTCATCTGAGATAACTAACCCCCTTAAAGAGTCCTCCTCCGTGTTTGGTAACAGCTCAGACGGTAATGAGTCCGAATCACGAAGCGACATCACATCAAATAATAGAGACAGCAAAACATCGGACAATTTAGTCACACTACTGGAGGAAGACGAGGCGGATGAGTTTGATCGACCACACAACGTAGCAAGCACTAATTCATATGAAAATCTCTGTGTATCACGTGACCAGGCACTGATGCCACTGTTAGATGCTGAAGATGCTGATTTAGATCGTGATCAAGAAAGTAGTCCYATTTCTGCGCATTTGGGAGCCGATTTTCCTATGAGCAGTAATACTTCTTTGMCAGGGTCAAGGATTTCTAGAGAYTTTTCAAAAAGTAGTAACATTTCCCTGCCAGGATCTGGACATTCTACGAGAAATGCTTCRCAGCCAGATTTTATGAACAGTAGCAATGTATCTTTACCAGGATCAGGAAACTCGATCAGGAACTCGCAGCGAGACGTGGGCAGTGATTCGTCTTTGAATGAGGCATCAAAAGGTCTTTTGAACGATGATGACGATGATGATATCTCACCAGAATTWACTGGTGGAGCTAGTGGGATGCAAAGAAGTCGAACTGAGTCTGTAGTGTAGTAACGTCCAGTTATCCCCTCAATTTGCGCAGCTTGCGGCTAGCTAGCAGTCAGTTCCATCGTTCCAAGACATGCGCGGGAGACAACAGAACAGTAAAGTAATCTGTACGCAGCAGGCAGTATGCAAAGCCGCCATCTTGTTGCATAACCTCAGCTTGTTCCATACGCCAACAACACAGTAAACATTCAAGTTCCTAAACGCATAAATAAGCTGTTCAATGCAGTATTACCAAGTCTGTGTTCTGTGAAAGCTGTAGTTTGAACTGACAACACGCAAAATAAGCCAAAGAACTCTGCATGCGAAATTCACTTTCTTACGCACAGATAGCTTGATGTATTTGGCACTGCTTTTGATATGGAGCATCGGAAGTGTAAGGGAGATTCGCCTGAATGCAGAAAACATTCCCTTCCTTTTGATAAACAAGCGAGCAAATAACTCGCCTTTAAAAAAGMCGACGACAACGACGAAATGTATACGAAGCATTTCGGTCTTTTCACGGAACATGCCCGAGTCAATTCGTAGAATTTATATATTTTACTCYAAAGGATAATAAAATCTAAAGTTACCAGCTCGGGCTGGAATATTTTAGAGTCGCCGTGCTTTGACACACATTATATTAATATTTGATAAATATTCACATTGGTAGAGAATAAATAGAGATTTTATGCATTATGAAGTAGTAATGTAAATGACAAATGGCCTGCAAGCACAACTTCAGTTTGGCTACAACAATTGCATGCAACCTGCCACATTCGCGTTACTGGTGACAACTGTCGTAACTGAAAAAATTATTTAATTTTTAGAGAACTTTATCAACAAAATCCTAGAGGGAGGTGGACGACGAGGCTACTTACCCTAAAAACCTGTGACTCAGTCACGTTCGCAATTAGTGTCTGGTTCAAAGAAGCAGCACATATCGTGTGTCAACTGGTCATCCCTGGTTGACAGATCGCTAAACAGTTAGATCCAGGGATGATTTTTTCTGAAAAATTCACGGACCGAATAACATGAACAAAACACTGTCAACAAAACATTGGCAATTTTCCTTTGAAATCTCGACAAAACGCCTCGAAAACTACTGACAGTGCATCATCCTAATACACAAACATATGAATTTCACATTTTGCTGAAAGTGACACAGAAAAAGCAAATATAAAGTCAATATTATCGACTCACATGTTTTCGACTTTTTAAACACGCGCGCCCGTCGGAATGACAGTCAGGAATGCATTATGGGCCAGGTCCAGTACAAAACGGTCAAACAGGACACAGGATGCCTAGAGGAAAACAAAACGAGTTTTCACACTATAAATCCAATTAAACTACAGCAAAACTCCGATAAATTAAATTCAGAAATGTTTTTTGAAACATTCTTTTAAGATCCCTTTTATATCCCAAACAGTACAGCGCTCGCGAAATGCTATGACGTCACGCATCGAACATGACATCACAAAAACATTTGACGTCAGTGATTCAGTTTAGCAATTACAAGCTTTACTTAGACAAGCACTATCATGGCTTGTCTTAAAAACAAGATATTATATCTTCAATCTTCATATTCAATATGATTCCCGAAATTGTTGCGTACTACATTTTTAACATCTACTCCTGCATAGCTGCAGTGATCGTGGGTGGAACAACGACAGCTGTGGTTGTCATCAAGTTGTACTACCCGCGGTATGATGTCTTCTACATCAGTTCACAGAGTAGGAAAGGTAATTACAACTTGCTCAAACTGGAATTTCATTCACGTAAAACTACATAYATAGTTGACATTTCTTTTCTTCTTCTTTTCTCAGGCGTTGAAGATCATTCCGCCAAAGCTACAGCAAATCGTACACGTTTTAAGTGTACAAGTCTACAATTGTATARYCCAAATTGGAGTAAAATCCAGGAATTATGGCGTTTGCCYAAACCGCCACGCCTTACATATGGTTTCCAAGGATACYTTTATAACAGAGGTAAAGAGSARACGTATTCTGAAAGTAGAATTCTTGAATCAGGAAAAAGTTGTCTCATCTAGCCCTCAAACTATATATAAAACGCGCAATATCAGAACTATAGAACACAGTCGTGAGGCAAGATACTAAATAATCTGTCAGTCATTAAGCCGCGGAGATTCTCGTTTACCTTTTTACTTACGTACACTTCACATTAGCCCTGAAATGACGTAAGAGAACAAAACCAAAAAAAGCCGCAATAAACAATAACACTTGATCAGAACCAATAGCGCACTTAATGGTGGATACCACCGAAGTATAACTCCCTGTACAAATGGTTGATAATATACCTGGATTGTATAATGAATTAATAATTTATGGATAGCTAGATTATGAATGAATGAATAGACGAGTGAATAAAGAAAGGGATAATTAGGGTTAATAAAGTAGAAGCAAGCTGTTTTTAATATAGTATATTTAAAATAATTCCAGTTGCCAACTTGAAAATGACAAAGCACATCGAAGCCAAGCGAACAACTGCATTGGCGGTCGTGACAAGACAGCCCGTTGACAGCAGTCTTTTGGCGGCGTGTGTTCTTCCTGGTCTTTTTTTGCTGGTCTTCATCATGGTTGTAATAATCAAATGGTAAGTTAAAAGAACAACCAGCAAATAAAACATTGATGTTACAAACTGAGTACTCGACTAAGAGAGCGGCGAAGAGGCTCTCCAGTGTAGATCATTGGACGATGCCCGTGTGAGTTTTGTGGGCAAGCAAATTAGCAAATAAATGTATTTGGGAGATTTCTCGTTGAATATCAGAAATAAYAAGACGCGCTGGCAAAAGGGTAGTAACAAAGAGTCCATGCTGAACAAAAAGTTATCTATTCAGAAGTTATCAACCTTTATCGAAAATTTTATCTTTCATTTCAGCCGAAGAGCAAAAAAACTACGAGCATGTGTCAAGGAAGCGACGGCAAGCGTCACGGCCATTCACAGGTACGACTGTGAAAGAAAGAGATGATCTCTTTTAATTTTATATATTTTTTAATAATGAATTAATTGGGATTTAATCATTGACAGCCAAATTGTCGCCATTGAGCAACAAATTTCAAAGAAGATGCCGTCCTTGAAGAAAGACGAAGCACCAAAAAAGCTTCAAGGTTTGACCGACGATCATGCTATCATAATCCTTCGTAAATTGAAATAAAAGCCTTCTTCCAATATACACTTTTTATATTAATTTTAGTACCACCAGTTGATCGAGAACCATCCGCTAAAGGGAAGGAGATAGTCCCATGGGTACCACCACACCTACTGCTTCTCAAAGGCACTGAAAGGTACAACACACACAACAGATTAGATATTGATAATTGATCAGTTTAACCTGTTTTATCAATACGTGAATCATTGTATTAAATGTTTATGAAACTACATTGATAGGCACTTGGTATTTTACAGCCGCAAAACTGCCGACAT